ATTAATTACCTGGCTTTGGCGCACAGAGCCTTCACCTCGCTCTCTTTGATCAGCCGTTAATGAGGGGTTCATGAAGCCGTTAATGAAGCCATTGATTGGTCTATCATTAGCAGTCACTCAGGGCTCAATGAAGGCATTAATTAATCACTAATTAATCATTAATTACTCATTAATTACCTGGCCTTGGCGCACAGAGCCTTCACCTCGCTCTCTTTGATGAGCTCGCAGCGCCGCAGTTGCTCGATTTGCCGGTCCAGGTCACTCAGCTCCCCCATGGCCCTTAATTAACCCTGATTAATTAATCACAGACAGCAATAATTAATACATTCCATCCTCTAGCAGTCCCGGGGGTTAATTAATGTAAAATTAATTAATGTAAGAATGAATTTCCCATTAAAAAGAATTGGAAACTGGGATTGGAAGGGGTTAAAACGCTTCTGGATGTGCTAATTAACCCCTAATTAATTAATGAGACACCTCATTAATTGATCAGGATGATAATTAACCCACACCAGGACTAATTAATCAACCCCGGGGGTAATTAAACCTTAATTAGCCATAAAAAAGAATTGGAAAATGGGATTGGAAGGGGTTAAAAAGYTCCTGGATGTGCTAATTAACCCCTAATTAATTAATGAGACACATTAATTGATCAGGGGGTAATTAACCCATTTTTCAGCCGTTCTGGGGCTAATTAATGAGCAATTAATTAATTAACCCCAATTTACCATARAAWGGGGGTGAGAAAATGGGGTTAAACCCCTCCTGGATGTGCTAATTAACCCCTAATTAATTAATAAGACACCTCATTAATTAATCAGGGTGATAATTAACAAATTTTAGGGGTAATTAATGAACCCTGGGGTTAATTAACCCCCAATTTCCCATTAAAACAGGGCAGAAATTGCGTTAGAAAATAACTAATTAATCTCTTAATTAGTTAATTAGAGTTCTCAGTAATTAATCAGGATGATAATTAATGTGGGGGGGGTATTTAACTCAACCAAAGGGTAATTAATTAATAATTAACGAACCCTGAGGCTTAAAAAGGGGCAGGAAAATGGGATGGAAAGGGTTAAAACCATCAGGGTTTTGTTAATTAACCTCTTAATTAATTAATTAGAGTCCTCATTAATTAATTAACTCTCTCCTGGAGGAATTTGAGCCGTTCTGGGGTTAATTACTGAGCAATTAATTAATTAACCCCGATTTTACATAAAAAGGGGTGAAAAAATGGGGTTAAAACCATCAGGGTTGTGTTAATTAATCTCTTAATTAATTAATTAATTAGAGACCTCATTAATTAATTAATGCCCTCCCCGAGCAGTTCCTGAGGGAAAGAACGACCCCAAAATCCCAAAAATTCCACCCAAAATTCCATTTAAAATAAAACCCAAAATCCCAAAATTCCCATAAAAATCCCAGAAAATCAAAAAAAATTTAAAAAAACCCCAGAAATTCCCACAAAATTCCCAAAAAAAAATCCCAAAATTCCAGCAAAAATCAGAGATTCCAAAGAGTCCCAAAAATCAAAAAATTCCACCCAAAATTCTGTTTGAGAAAAAAATAAAATCCCAAAATTCTCACAAAAAAACTCAAAATCTAAAATCTCAAAATTCCCTTAAAAAAAAAAACTTTAAAATCCCAAAATTCCCCCAAAATAATTTTAAAAAGAATCACAAAATTCCACAAAAAACCCCAAAATCCTAAAAAAAATCCAAAATAAAAAAAAATCCCAGAAATTCCAAAAAAAATCGCCAAAAAAAAATCCCACAAAAATTTGCACAAAATTCCATCAAAAATCAGATTCCCAAAAGCCCCAAAATCCCAAAAATTCCACCCAAAATTTACAAAATTATCCCAAAAATTGCACCCAAAATTCCACTTAAAAAAATCCCACAAAATTCCCCCAAATTGGCCCAAAATTCCACCAAAAATTCGACATTTCCAGAAGCCCCAAAATCCCAAAAAAGACCCCAAAAATCCAAAAATTCCTATAAAAATCCCACAAAAATCCCAGAAAAATTTGACCTAAAAATTCCACCAAAAATCAGATTCCCAAAAGCCCCAAATCCCCAAAATTCCACCCAAAATCCCCCAAAATGCTCCAAAATCTCCCCAAATCACCCAAAATCTCTCAAAATTGCCACAAAATTGTCCAAAATCACCCAAAGTTTCTCCAAAATCTCCCCAAATTCCCAAAAATCCACCAAAAAAACCCAAAATTCTCAAAAATCCACCAAAATTCCCCAAAATTCCCTGAAAAATTCACGGAAATCCCCCAAAAATTGTCAAAAATCGCCCACATTTGACCCCAGACCCCACAAAAACCTCAAAATCCACTCAAATTCTCCCAAAATTCCCAAAATTCCTGAAATTCCTGCAAAATTTGACCCCAGACCCCACAAAAACCTCAAAATCCACCTAAATTCCCCCCAAATTCCCTCAGACCCCACAAAATGCCCCAAAATTGCCCAAAATCCCCCAAAATGCTCCAAATTTCCCAAAATTGCCCCAAAATCCCCTCACAGACCCCAAAAAATTCCCCCCAAATCCTCCCAAAATGCCCAAAATTTGTCCAAAATTCCCCAAAATTCCACCCTGGACCCTCAAATCCCTCAAATTTC